CAGCCGGAACCGGTAGAGGCTGTAAAGGTGCACGCAGTGAAGGACTTGACTTCACTCGTTGGCAGACTTCGCATGCGCGAACATACTTTCGCACAAACTGATACTGGCGGGGCCAGTAAAAGTCTCGACTTACCGTGAGATATGTTTTCTCTCGGCCACGATGTCCTCCTATAGGAGCATCGTGATACTCGAACATGATCCGCAAACGCAGATCAGTATCATCTGGAATGACAACACGTGGTGTGTCACCAGAAACGGCTGTATAGTACAGTAAACCGTTACGAGTAGTGTATCGATCTGATGCAGATCGATACGCAGACGACAATCGTTTCAACGATTCTCGAGATGGTTGGGAGAGATGTGACAACAACTTCACTATCTCACCATCTTGGGCGTATGCCCGCCTCACATCATCATACAACGTTGTAGATGGAACTGAGGACGTCATAACCGCAACAGTGACTGTCTCACTGTTGGGTTTCGCGACTGTTTCAAAGTCGGGACGACGTGAGAGTGCATCAGCGACGACATTAAGTCGTCCTGGTTTGTACTCGACCGTAAAGTTGTATTCTGCAAAGAATGACAACCACCGCGCCATTCGTTGTGAAAGGTGCGGGCTGTTCACTGCCGTGCGTAAGGACGCATGGTCAGTGTAAACAACGAAGGGTCTATCTCCTAATAGATAGACTCTGAACTTCGCGAGTGCATACTTCATGGCAAGGAGTTCCTTGTCATGCACTGGATAGTTCCGCTCAGCTGGTTGCAGCTGACGCGACTGATAGCAGACGACGCGTTCAACGCCTTCAAGGTCGTACTGCATTAATGCACAGCCGATTGCGAAATCGCTGGCATCACAGACCACATGAAATGGCCTGTCCTGATCGGCTATTGCTAGGACTGGGGATTGTATCAAGCTCTGCTTGATACCCTCAAAGGAGCGTTGACATTCAGCGTTCCATAACCACCTCTCGTTCTTTTTCAACAAACGAGAGAGGTGTACAGTCATCTCGGCGTAATTGCGTGAATACTTATGCAAATACGCCGCTAGCCCAAGGAATTTTCGAAGACCTTTGACATCGACCGGCACGGGCCAGTCGGTGATCGCCTTGATCTTTTCGGGATCAGGACGTACACCGTTCTTACCAACGATGCACCCAAGAAGTGGTATTTCGCTTGCTGCAAATATACACTTCTTGAGGTTTGCATACAATTGATGCTTTCGCATGATTGTAAGAACTTGTCGGACGTGGTACTTGTGAACCTCAACGTCCGACTTTCCATCCATAGCTCGACTATGGATGAATACGTCATCGAAATAACTCGGCGCGAATTCTCGTACTGGCCTCAACAGATGTGATACACACCTGTTGAACGTGGCAGGGGCATTACTGAGCCCTTGTGGCATTACTAGCCATTCCCAGAGCATGCCGCTAGGCGTGCTAACTGCGGTATAGGGTATATCCCGTTCCCGCATTAGGATTTGATAGAAGCCATCCATCAAATCCATGGACGAAAAGATGGTACTCTTTGACATACCATCAATGATTACGTCCTTCCTCGGTATCGGCGTCTGAGCCGGTACCGTTGCAGCGTTCAATTTGTTAAACGCGTGCACTATCCGCCACCCTCCTGTTGCTTTTCGCACACAGAAGGTCGGAGAGCTATGTGGGGAAGTTGATTCCCTCACATGGCCCGCTGCTAAACGATCGGCAAAGAACTTGTCGATCGCAAGTACTTGTTCACGAGGCAGTGGCCACTGCTTCATGACACAGTACTTCGAGCCTGGTTTAAGCTCGACTTCGTGTCGAATACCTTTATCCTTCGGTAATTCGCACGGAACAGTTTCAGGGAATACATCCTTGAATTCAACCAAATCTTCATAGAGAGGATTTTCCTTGAGCGATTCCCATGATTGGGACTCATATCGCTCAATTCGTGTCTTTTCATCTAGGACACTCTCGTCCATAGATGAACTACTGAGAACTCTCTCGTTCTCAGTAAACACTGTTGCTGACCTTATGTCGGTTACATACTCGTCTTCAGCGACGAGTATGCAGATCTGCTTGACTTTGCCACTACGCAGATCACGCAAGAATCTTTTATGTTCGAGCGTTGGCAACTGAGTGATCTCCGAAGTTAACTTCGGAGGCGCAATCAGATCAAGTGTATAAGCGCCTACACATGATCCGTTATTGACTATGACATTCAATGTCTCTGTCATTTCCTGGGGACTTATTCCCTCAGGCTTCGAAGGACTTATTCCTTCGTCTTCCCGGGGACTTATTCCCGCGGGTTTCGGGGAACTTATTTCCGCCGTATTTGTAATCTTGGGACTTATTCCTTTTACTTCCTCTAGCTGGGGTTGCGCAACCACAGCGAGATCCTCTACGAAAGACTCTCCAGTCGATCTAGGATTATCGTTTCGCTTAACCTGAGCGATCGATTGTTTCTCTTCTAGATGTTCCCCTCTAGGGATACATCTTTGTCCCAGTCCACCCGACTTATTCGAGTGGTGGACCTTCGGCGCAGCCTGTGTTTCCTCACAGCCGCCGGAACTTTGCTCCGAAGTGTAACCGTTTGGTACACTAAGGTTTTGTGCAGTCGTACTAACGACCGTACCACAAGTGAGGCCATCGCACTCACTCGTAGTACATCCACACGCTTGTGGACTCTCCAAAACGTTCATCAGATGGACATCTGATGAACAAGCGGCAGGCATCGTTACTGTCCGATGTTGCCAGTTTACCCGTGGTTCGTACCTTCTGAGCCACGGTATTCCAAGGATGACATCAAATTTGTCATCCAAATCCAATACGATAAAGTCATCGTCGTATTGGGTATCTTCTAGCGTATAGTGAATCTTCACTATACGCTTCATGACGGTTACGGATGCGCCTGTCGCAAGACGTACCGTCATCCTCGTAGGAGGTGTGTCACATTCACTGAATTTAAAGTGACCATCTTCTAGCGATTGGCGTCGCACAAAATTGTTGGACGCCCCACAATCGACTAGAGCTCGAAGGGACAACTTATTCGTCACTTCGAGTTTCAAGGTAATGAGTGAGATCTCATTACCTAGAGCAGCAACGCACAATGTCTGTGTGTTGGGAGCAACCTTCATCAAGAGGCCTACAAATTCTCTTGACGTTGCTGGATCAGTAGGGTGCTCCGCACCTACTGATCCTGTCCGTTTTTTGACGGTCCATCCCGTTGTTGCGTCTTTGCACCAACTGCGGACCCTCGTCCCTGCTTCTTTCTCATGGGTGGACGGTCACTACGCCCAGTGTCGCGAGACACTGGACGAGGGGCACTACACTCGTAAGCGTAGTGTCCTGTCTTTTGACATCTGTTGCATCTCTGCAACTTCTTGTAGCCTGTAGAGCGAGCCTTCTCGCTCTCTACATAACAGAGTTCCATCGGCTCTGGACCTCCGTTGTCATATCGTCTCGGTTGACGATATGATGTCGAGCTGGCGCGAGCCTGTCTCAGACTGAAGTCTTCCTGCTCCGCAATTGAAATGGCTTGTTCTAGTGAATCTAGTTCAAGCCGGAACAGGTGAGTCTTGACGGGACCATCCGCAAGACCCTGCATGAACACCGAAACCAACGTGTGTTCATCCACCGGATTGGAACTTATACAACTCGTGAGATGTCGTATATGTTGAGCGTAAGCGTGCACATCACGCTTACCCTGCTTGAGCTTCAAGAGTTCGATTCGAGCTCTGAACTCAGCTCTAGGCGGTTCAAACGTTTGTCTGAGCCGCGACTTGAAGACTTCCAACGACCCAAACGCGTATGGGTCGTGCAGCTTGAGCCCCAGTGCCCAAGTCTTGGCACGTCCTGCCAGATTTGACTGGGCAAATGCAACTTGCATATCCCCGTCGTCGATGCGACGCGCCCTTATGGCGTCATCCAATTCGACGAACCATCTCAAGAGGGAGTCTTCTTCGACCCCCCTATACTTTGAGATGTCAATCTTCAAAGTCTCGGGCCGACGCGAGTGCATCGACCCGCCAGCAGCAGCCTGCTGCTGTCTCAACAGTTCAAACTGTTGAGCACCTTGTTCTCTCAACAACTCTGCTTGTTGAGAACCTTGTTGGTGAAGCAAGGCTACTTTCTCGCGTTCAGCGTCAAGTTCATTTTGAATGAACTTGGCGATAGTAGCATGTTGGGCATCTCTATTGAGAGCCTCTAGCATGACGCTAACAGCATGGATGCCCATGGTCGAACCCATTCGTTCAACCGCATCCCATTCGACATCGCTCAAATGGGAGTAGCCGTCACGCGTAGCGTGAAAGCTTTGGTCATCTTCATCATCCAACATATTCATGTTGGATGTGAACGCGGTCCTTGGACGGACTACGAAGTGCTACCAGGTGTAACGGGGCACCCTGAAGCTTGTACTGGTGACAGTACAAGCTACTTATTCTGATAACAGAATAAGGCGGTGCCTCGTAACTTCACGTACACTCGTACGTGCAGAGGAAGACGGTAAGAAGAAGCGAGTACTCGGTTAGAGTAAAAAGTAGAACTGTATTTATAATAGTTAATGTCTGCAATAAATCACTATTTATCTTCATCTAACTATGTCTAAATACAAATGTGTAAATCAGTTATCTGCTCACCACTCATTGCGTGCGTCTGTCGTGGCGCGTCTTCGTTGGTTGATATAATGGCCTATATCAACCAATTAGGAACTACTTGGAAGTGCTACAGAATATTGTCCTTATGACAATATTCTGAGAATATAACTCTTATAGTTATATTCTATTAACAATTTCTTATAAATTGTTATGTAACGATTCACCCCGTTACATCTACACTCTTCAATCAGCGTTATTTGGAGGAGGAGTATAAACAGGACCAGTACTGGCATCAGCCAGATACTCGAACGACGGCCATCAAGCCACCTCCGCGCCTCTTCCCGATGGGAAGGAGGGGATCAGCACCCAATTCGACGCGCTACCCGATAGGCAGAGCCACACAGGAATGGCTCGCGGGATGGTAGCGGTTCAGGGCGGGCAGGACGATTCCCATGCCTCTCCTGGCGTCACAAGACCACTCGTTACCCAGACGGCAGGTGGAGATATCGTAGTTGACACCATCATGGCAGACGACCAGCAGGCGGTTCCCGTATCGAGCCACGGGCCAGACACGGTCGGAGCCTCGGTCGATCACGGTTTAAACTCGTCAACGCCTGGCGGCGGCGACGGAGCGTCGACGCGTCAGACAGCGGTATCACAACCCCGATTACCTGAGGGGGTAAAGACGACTTCATCCACGCCGGCCGTGGAGCCCGTACCTCCTAAGGAGCTTTTTGAGGCTCTAATTGAGTCGATGAAAGCCTCACCAGGCCCAACCAACGTTGATGTCTGGCGTCTGTCCATCCAGGACCTATTTACAGTGGAATATGCTCGGATACCGGTAAGCGTTGACGCGTTACCGGCCGGATGCACAAGGTTTCCCAAGCTTAAGGGACCTGAGGCGGATAGCTTGCTAGATCTTTTTCGACGCTGTTATGTGTCAGCTTCTGGAAGTTTCGCCGACTGGAAACGACTGGCTCATCAGATCAGCAAAGAACTCCTCCTGACGAAGTGGGCATTCAAGGAGATCATAAGAAAATTGGTCAGTCAGCAAAAGTGGGCCACTGCTCCTGTCTCCAATCAATGGGCAGAAGTCGTGCGGGCGGGTTATACGGCTCGCCAAATGGACGGGGAGAACAAAGGGAGCATAACCTATGAAGATTTTATGTTTGACCCGGCCAAATTCTCGTTGGAAGACTCGATTACACTAAAGGCCATATGTGTGGCCCGGCTAGGTAATAAGGGCTTCCAACGGCTACGTGAGGGGTCTGATGACGAATGGCGCATTATTGTGGGTATTGCCGAAGGGCATATAGTCTGTCGCCGGATGCCAGACTATCTACGATCGGTTCTGGACAGCAAGGAACGTCTTCAGCTGTACAGTACCGTTCAGGCGCAGGTGGAGGGTCAATAAGTTCTCCATATCAGCGGTGGACGTGACATTCCTCTAAGTCGTCAGACAACGAAGGCCATCACGGAGAAGATTCTGGAATCAGCCGAGCTGTTGAGGGTCAGTTTGCCCGATCTCCATCGCCTGCTGGGATCATCGAAAAAGATCTGTTACAATCGATCAACCCGGTCGATTCACTTTTTCTTTTTTTCGCGGGACAAGGCAAAGAAGCTCCAGGACGTTCAAGTGCCTTTTCAAGATCGAGTTTATACGCTGGAGAACGCCCATCAGCCGGTAAGGGGATCGGTATGGCTGAACCAGCGGGGTCCAGATGGTCGGTCGGGGTACCCAAGATCCGCTTATACGATTTTCCTCTACAATCTTACCAGATTCGACGACATTGGACGCATAGCAGCTTACTTGCGCTCGAAGATTCAAACAGAATTTGAGCTGGAGGACATGGACACATGCACACCAAATTCAAGAACCTCAACAGCGTGGAAGGTAACCTTTCATCTAGCGGGCTGCCCGAAATTCCTTCAGGGTATAGTACGATTACTTTGGTTTGGAACACCAATTATCATCAGGCATCCAGATGTGGGCCGTCGCCTCCAATGTCTGCAGTGTGGAACTTTGGGACACCCGGCGGGCAGATGTCAAGTCACAGATGCGCAATTACGCGGGCCGGGTGGCGTAGAAGTTATCGAAGCAGATCTTCAAGCTGTTGAAGACCTCGCCAAGCCTTTTAGCAGTCCAGAAGAAATGAGGTAGATGGCAATGAGACGTCTACAAGTCCAACAATCGGAGGATGCGGCAGCGCAGACTGCAGTGACGCCGGTGGCATTGACAGTTGCCCCCAGTCCGTCGCCAGTGGCAGAACCCCCTAGAACTGGCATACCTCTCCAACCGGTATATACTCCACCAGGTACGCACGAGGGGCCACCACCACCGGCCCCAAAATGCCGACCAGCGCAACCATGGCTGACCCGGCCTGTACGGGGAGGGAGGAGGATATGGTCACCCCTGCAGGCCTCGAAAGGCGATCTCAAGGTTAGCAGCGGTAGTTATCACGTGCTCCAAGAGGACGAGCTGGATGAGACCGAAACGTCCTCGAATTCTGTTAATAGCGATACCCATGATCTGCCAAGGCAAGCATCAAGTAAGATGACGGATCGGGATGCGTCTTCCAAGAAGGGACCACCCACGTGGACACCTGAGGATCAAGCACGACAAACAGCAGCCGCCAGGAGAGGACAGGTGTCTGTTGTTGTGGTCCCAACGCTTTTGGCCAATAAACGCCGGGAGCGTTCAACATGTGAGCGGCTAATTAAACAGTTGTCACCAGGGACAAGTACGCGATCCCCATGGAACCAAGGCCTCATGCTGAACCCATGCATGTGACAGATTGGTACAGATTTTGGGGCTCCGTGAAGTCGCCACACCGGCCACGGGCAATTGTTTGGCGATAGCCATAGCTCAAGCTCTCGCAGAATCTGCTTTGGACAACCCTACCAAGGGCCTTGAGATTTTAACGGCTAGTATTAAACGGGGAATCTCCAACGCCGGACTACTAAATTTGGAGGATCAAATGGCTCATGACGTACGGTTTCATGCTTTAAAGAACGTTGGCAAAGGTTGGACGACGATGACCGGGGGGGAGTCTGCGTCCCAACTACGGTGGTTTTTGCATGACTATGCAGCCTCCCCTTCCAACAGAGAAGCCCTGGTTGAGGAGCATAGCTGGGGTGGAAGTGACACTCTTAGAATGGCAGCCAATTTTTTGCATCGCACTATCTATGTGTTGAACTGTGGCCGCGGAACGGGTAGCTGGAGTGGTCGCAAGTATTGTCCTGCTACGATCAACAGACACGGTCGAGTAGTGAAAACTGCCAAAGAATTTCCACTTACTCTCTTGGCATGTATAGACGAGCTGCAAGCGGCAAAAATAGAGGAGCCTCGCGCTCCACCACTGGTGCTTAGATTCTGGGGCCGGCATTATTCGGTTTTTCTGCACACTGCCAGGGCGGCAGATCGGCTCAGCCTAACTGACGTCTCGGACGGAACAGGCTCAGCGCTGCAGCAAGGTCAGGACTCGCAAATTGTGGATACTTTAGCTGTGCAGCTAGAAGAGAAGCGCTCCCATATTTTATCCCCTATCAGGGATCATATGTCGGTTGTGGATGACAACACTTCGATAATCATCCACTCTTAAGGAACTGTGGTCTTGCCAAAGCGTCATCGCAGCAATTAGCTATTGTTCCATCGCAGATCAGGGGGGCCAATCAGGGCAGTTCGCTATCGGCTCGAAAACGTGGGCACGTCAGCACGTCGGAGTCCATCGAGGTCAGCGAAGGGGAGAACTGGAGTGGACTTGAGAGCTTTAAACAGAAAAAAGGCAGGATCAGCGTTGCTTCTCCTCAACCCTATATCACTCGGATGGAGGAACGAATAGATACCGACGACTGGCCGGATCTCTGGCAGGCTCTGGGAGTTGAATGGCCAGTAACGGCTTCTACGCCATATCCACTAGTGTATGGTAACCCTGAGGCGTGGCTGAAAACTGCCCAGGTCGAGCCAGAGCTGCTGCTCCATCACGTGCGACGCTTTGTTTTCCCGGGTGAACTGCTGGCTAGCCTAGGGGATCACGTTCTCGGGATGTGGACGGCTCAGTGGCGACAGGCGTGCTTGCTGTCTGGTCTTCTTGAGTACAGGCGTCGAGTGCAAGATTCTATGCAATCACTGTGGCTAGATCAATGGATCGTGCGAACACAGCAGCGATTGCCTTCCTCCCGGCTGGCCCCATTAATCGACAACACCGACGATTGGGTCAAGCTGAGGGAGGTCGACTACGCTACCGATGTTATTTTGAGTCTTTGTGACCCTCACCGACGTATACGCCTGAGTTATCACCTACTATGTGCGGTATTGTTCGACGCTGAGATTTTTGCGCTGACCGGGGATGGGGAAAAACCACTTGAGCCTCCCGAGCAACTTCGAGGGCACCTACGCTTACTTCGGAACAACAGTCACTACAAGGAGGTGTATTAAGCTGACGGGGGATCCAAGGTGGATTGGCGCAAGCTGGTTTGCTTCTTTAATACTGCGTTGGCTCCTGCAGAGCAGCAGTTTCTACTTGGGTACAAAGGGCAGCTTACGGAGCAACGAGGCCTTCAGGCCCGGTGGTGCATCACTCGACGCATCGGACGCCTATGGCCGCCATCTCTTGCTTAAGGAATGGACCAATTCTTTTGAGCCAGTTAATCTCGGCTCCAAGGCTGGATGGGTGACATGCTTTACATATCTCAAAATGTACGAGGATTCAAGGACAGCGTGCGCGACAGTTGGATGTCGGGTTGGCGGGCTAAGACAAATCGACACAGAACAGGGGCTTGGTGCATCCAGGACACACATGTGCACACAGAAGCAGAGGCAACTCGGCTGCGATATCAGTGGGCTCGACTATGGGGTCAGCATCTTAACCCGACTTCCCCTGTCCTATCGTACTGGAGTATTGGCTCGTCAAAACGGGCAGGAGTTGCTATTCTACTCACTCCACAAATTGCAACACATACGACGGCCTGGTTACCGGATTTCTGGACCACACGCGCGATCGCTGTATCTATTGGGGGAAAGTACTTGTGAATGTGAACGCTCCTACTTTGCGGTCCGAGCGAGAGGCTTTTTTTTACCTACCTGCTGACCTTAAATCTAGACCCCTCAATTACGATGATCGTCGGCGATTTTAATTGCGTCCAGAGTCCCCTTCTGGATCGATTTGGGAAGCATCGCTCCAACCGGTCAGAAAGCCCGGCCCTGGACCACGTTGTGTCTACGATAGGATTGGCTGATGCAAGATGGCTTCGCGAACACGCAGACGACGACATAATGGATACTTTTGTGGACCATTTCACATACTGGGAAGGGGATAGGGCTAGTCGTATTGACAGATTTTACGTACCGGAAGGCTGGGTGGACCGCGTCCTGTGGGTTGAGACGCGCTTACCTTCAAATTTGTCGGACCATCAGGAGGTAGTTCTACACCTGCGAAAACCAACCAGGCGTCGCCCTCATATTCGACGTGATAGGGTGGTGTATCCCATCACAGCATCAAACCCCGATAACATTATAGCAGAACTTGTCGAGGAAATGGATGGCATGGCTGTTGGTCAAGCTTTATCTACCAGGACTTGGGATCTAGACGTTGCTGAGTGTGTAAGCTGTATTCGGCGTGTCAGTAAGAGGGTGAAGCAGCGCAGGGCTCGATTTTGCCATAACATTCAGAGACGGGCACAGCAGCACTTGCTTACCAGGCCACAATGGATATCCTGTAAGATGGAAGAATTGCGTCAGGAACATATTGTGCGACTCGGTCAACAGCTGGTCAGGACAACAGATCGGTTACGGTTTATTTATCGCAAAATAGCCGACTGGGAGCGCGAGCAAACCGTCACCGGTATTAAGCAGCTTCATGGACCGGTTTTTAGTCGCACCATGTCGACGGCAGATAAATTTGCCTCAGAGTGGTCCACTGTTTTAGGCGTGGTACATCGCAGTACCCCTTTGGAAGCCTTACCAGCCACTATCGTCATTTTGTTCAAGTTCCCACCCAACGGGTACTTTCTTCGAGCGAGAATCGGTCTTTAATGGCCGATTTCACTGAAGATGAGGTTATTACAGCCATCACGGGCCTATGTCGACATAAATCGGCTGGATCTGATGGTTTAAACAACGACTTTTACAAGGATACGCCGGCGCTTTTGGTTCCAGCCCTGGTGCGAATCAGTAATCAAATATTGGCGGCCTCAGATCCTCCACCTTCTTTTCTGGAAGCGCTGATCATACCTTTGCGGAAGAAAGGTGACTCAGCGGATGATATGGATTACAGGCCTATTTCGCTACTTCAGACCAGTTACAAAATCTTCGCGAAGGTGCTGGCGACTAGGTTACAAGTTGTATTACCTAAAGTCATTGGTGACTCACAACAAGGTTTCGTCCATGGCAGGCAGATGTTGAAGTCTGTCCTG